GGGGGGCGGCGCTTTTTTTTGCTGCTTGGGGCAGCAAAAAAGCTAGAGCCAGCCCTGATCCTGCGTGATCAGGTCCGGAAAGAGAGGCAGCAGAATCGGGGTGACCACCGAGATCTCCAATAGCATGGTGTACCAATGCTGTCGGGGCCACGCGCACACCTAATTGGAACTGATATGAGCAAGCACTTGAAGAAGAAAATGTAATTCTTCTGCTCTACTCTGTGCTGATTAGGCTTCAAATGGAGTATTGTGTCCAGTTCAGGGTGCCACATTTCAGGAAAGATGTGGACAATTTTGGAGAAAAGCAACAAAAATGATTAAAGGTCTAGAAATCATGACCTATGAGGGAAGATTTAAAAAAATGGGTTTGTTTAGTCTGGAGAAGGGAAGACTGTATTTTTCAAATACATAAAAGGTTGTTACAAGAAGGAGGGAGAAAAATTGTTGTCCTTAACGTCTGAGGATAGGACAAGAAGCAATGGGCTTAAATTGCAGCAAGGGAGGTTTAGGTTGGACATTAGGAAAAACTTCCTAACTGTCAGGGTCGTTAAGCACTGGAATAAATTGCCATGGGAGGTTATGGAATCTCCATTGTTGGAGATTTTTAAGAGCAGGGTTAAACAAATACATGTCAGGGATGGTCTAGATCATTGTTTCCCAAAGTTGGGACGCCGCTTGTGTAGGGAAAGCCCCTGGCGGGCAGGGCCGGTTTGTTTACCTGCCACGTCCACAGGTTCAGCTGATCATGGCTCCCACTGGCCGTGGTTCGCTGCTCCAGGCCAATGGGGGCTGCAGGAAGCGGCGCAGGCCAAGGGATGTACTGGCTGCTGCTTCCCGCAGCCCCCATTGGCCTGGAGCAGCGAACCGCGACCAGTGGGAGCCGCGATCGGCCGAACCTATGGACGGGGCACGTAAACAAACCGGCCCGGCCCGCCAGGGGCTTTCCCTACACAAGCGGCATCCCAACCTCGGGAAACATTGGTCTAGATAATACTTAGTCCTGCCATGAGTACAGGGGACTGAACTAGATGGCCTCTCGAGGTCCCTTCCAGTCCTATGATTCAATAACAAATGTTATTTTGAAAAACATTTCACAACTAATGAATTGTAAAAAAACCAAACTAAAAACACATCCCTGTACGTTCAGATCAAATTGAGTGTAGTTTTCCCTTACATCGCCACTATATAATCAGGTGACATGACTTCAAATCAAATAGCCGTCACTGTTGTTCCAATGATCTAGCTGTTGCGTATTTTGAGGAAAAATATTGTTTAGAACAATTACATCAACATGTGGAATTGGGAAAAATTCTTCCGCCATAAGAAGGACAAATGAACATTTCCTGTTTCTCATCTTTAGTACATGTTGTCTTTTCAGACAACAATAGGCTGGCATTTGTTCAATACACGGTAAGAAAAACCCTGCCCCTTGAAGGCTGGGCTGACTCAGCCTAAAAATGCTGTGATCTAAATTACTGTGCGGACTCTGGACAAGGTTCAAACAACAGACACATCCATTTCTTCAACCTTTGATGTTTCTTAACCTTTGAGTGGCCTTTGTATTTAATGTTTATATTTATATGTCCATTGTTTAGGTCACTGTTTTATTCGCTGGCTTACACCTGAACAGATTAGAAAAATATTTCCATTGTTTATTACACAGAATTGTGACAAGAAAAAGAATGAGCCAGCAGTTCCTTGCAAAATACCGTTTAACACAATCCACAGCAAATTACCATGTTTGTTACTTATCAGACAGCACTACACTAAAATAAAATATTTAGAGAGGCAACAAGTGCTCACTTGAGGGGTAGGAATAATTTTATACTAGTTATTAAATACATATTAACTCTAGTGCAGTGTCTCACAAAAAGTACTCCTAGTCGGTGAAATGATAAAACCTTCAGATGCAGTATTCTAAGGATGCATTATTTAATTAATAATAGTGTAGTAAAAGTAAATGAAAGTAGGAATTGGATATTTAAGTTAGATTCCTATTGGGTAGGTGTCATCAATATAATATGTTACAAGAAATTAAATAAAAAGGTGACTAATTTTCTAACTCAGGACCAAATTCTACTCCCAGTTACACCAGAGTAAATCTGGAATAGCTATTGGCTTCAGATGACGTATTCCACATTTACATCAATATAACTGCAAGCAGAATAAATCCCTTAGTCTTTCAAGGCTTCAGAGTTACACAGTTCAAGGTTATTTCACAAATATTTAGAACAAGTATGGCATGCTGATATGTCACCCACCAACTTGATGAACTAGATGCAGAGCTAATGTTGCCTTTTCTGGAGACTGTGTCATACATTGATTAGGGAATCCCAGACATCATGAGCTGAGTTCTGGGAACTCGTGATATTCAGCTGCATGACTGGCTAGAACAGGTAACTTCTTTACAATTTTTTTTAAAATTCAGCCCTAAGCATTTTTTTCTTTTCAAACATTTATGGATGATTTTTTGATGCTACTGAAAGTGAGGGACAAATAAGCTTTGGCTAGAGGAGGCACAGGGAGAGTGACCACCGTGCAAGCTTCTCCTCTACTAACAACTCCTATTTCCTGACCTGCAACACCCATGCTATTCTAGTCCTAGATCTTTCTCAGACTACCAATCATATGTTGATGGAGCAAGTCCCGCTGTTCTCTGGCACTGCTCTTTACTGAGCCCTTGGATTTGTGTGTGAAAACCTGGCAGGGATTTAATAAAGGAGCTTGCAGCTGAATGAAATCCTCCACCGTTGCTATTAGTTAATCACAAAGGAACCCAAAGCCAGCATGGTTTTTGTATAAGCCATTCTGTCATGAGGAGGGGATACTAGAGCTTCATAGACAACTCCTGTCCCTACGGATCCAGAGAGTCCATTCCCCATGTATATCTCAGACTGCAATATGCAGAAAGGCTTTGCCCCCTCTCAACTCTATTCTACCTGTGTGGAGCAGCCGCCCCACCACAACTGGTTTTACATATTTCTTAGTCGTTAAGGACTAAATTCTGCCGCTCTTATTCAGCTGTGTAGTCCATTGAAATGAATGCGAGTACATATGGAATAAAGTCTTGCACAACATGAGGAAGGATAGCAGAATCTAGTCCATACTTGGGAATATCAGTAGAAAGACTAAAGAGTTTCAAACCAAAAGAATCTTTAAAATGTGACAACTATACACTGTCGTGAGGATTTTCAGTGTTGCCTAAGGGAGTTAGGTCTCTACTTTTTAAAATGCAGTACTTAAATTTGGCAATACATCCTCAAGTAGCTTGTTGCTATGATGGTGATTTGATACCCAGTATCTAGTTGAAGGTTGTTTATTTGCAAACTGTTAGCATCTAAAATTGAGCCATTGGCCACAACATCAGTCACAAACAGATCTGGTAAGAAGACAACTGACCATGTGGGGAAATTATTTTAAAGTTGTGTTTTTTTCTTTTTTGTTTGTTTTGTTTTTTTCTGGTCTCAGACTAATTTTGACATTTGGATTTGTTGAAAGGGACTGGAGAAATCATGTTTTTTGGGTGAAGGGGGTTACTCTAAAACAGATGTCTTAAATGTACTGCATACACACTCACCTGATTAACATGTGGGGTGATCTTACAATCTTCCTTTAGTTGCTCCAAATGATTAATGAGAAAATTGCTTACACCAATAGACCGACATATACCTAACAAAAGAAAAAGGAAATAAAGTAAGGCATTGTACAGTACTATAGAAGCAGAAAAAGTGCTCTACAAAGTCTAAGTTTGGGGAGGTGGGAAACAACTTAAAAATGTAGCTTCTGAGGGGACAAAATGATTATACACTAACATCTCAATAACAGAATACTGCAGAGAGTGACAGACAAACCAATATTGAAATCCAGTTTGACAGCATTATCTGAAAGCATGGTACTATCAGAGTTCTATTACAAAAGTGTTTTATAATCTAAACACACAGGAGGCTCCCCAGTGTATAAAAACTCCAGGCTAAATTCTGGGAAAGACTAATGTAGTATAAGCAAACAACAATTGGACTTCACCAGAATGAAAGGAAGGAAATGGTGTTCTTAGCAGCTTGCCAAAACTAAAGAAAAGCGGAACATTTGTAGAAGACTAATAGGGAATGAGTAATAAAACACAAGGACACACAGTCTAAACGAACTGCCCACTACTTATATTTAAGGTAGGTTGATACTATAACAAACATTTATATACAATTCAGTATAAAAAACTACACTTAAAAATGAAATGTATGAAAATGTCAGGAAACTCAAAGGATTGAGTAGAGTGCCGGCATTAACACTGGATTTCTTGGCTTCTGTTAGTGTACATTTTAAATATATTAACAGAATTTAAAATGAGAATTTAAAACGTGTGCGCAAATTCAGTGCTGACTGACAACCCTGGGGAGTCAAATATCCTCTTTTGCCCATGGAAATGGCATGGCACACTTCCCAACACTACCCTGCAACAACCCTGACCAGTCCTGCAGGGGCCTGACCAGTCCTGGGGGTGGGGTGAGGGAGGGGGGGGGGGTCAATCTGTGGTGTCTCTGTTGAGACTGTTAATGAAGGATGTCAATTGCGGTCATAGTTTTTGTGATGTAGACTGGGCTAAAACCACCAGACGCCTTTCAAACAGGTCACTGATTAGCAGGGTGGATTTGATTTAAATCAAATTGATTTAAAGCATGCTTTAAATCATACTTTAAATCACTAGTCAGGAAGACTCGATTTAATCATGGATTTCTACACAAAAGTGCATTCTTGTTGGTTGTTATAACCTTAATACGTATTCTTCACAACTCAGAGATAGATGTAGGTTTCATTTTTAGAAGGTACACACTACACATTTTTAAAGTGATTTATTTTGAAAACATTTCAGATTCGTTTTACAGCTAGATCAGAAAATGAATGATTGTTTGGTTATTTCATTTACCAGAGGTAATTGAAGCAGATATTTATGAAGTCATTGGGAGGTAAACTATCTCCAAGTCAACAGGTTAATCATTAATATTTGGAGGATTTTCTTTCCCTGCTGTATTAGGAAAACATCACCAGACAGACATTTAAATTGTTTTATTTAACTATGTCTCACCTCTATATATTAATTAATTAAATAAATAACATTTTTGCTGTTGACAAGCATGTTATCTCTGAAGACACAAATCCACAGTTTGAGAACTGCAAAACTACGCATCTCTGATGATATCTTCTAGACTGAGCACTGAGGCCCATTGGGTAAATAGAAAGATTAACCTACATAATTTATACAGAAGTTCCTGGAACCCTATAAAATTGGGTCCCTAATCCATGAACTATTGGAACTCATTTATAAAACTTTTCTTAAACATTACATGAATATATTGTCTCATACTATAGAATTAGAATTTATAATCCCTATTCCATGATGAGATCTCTTTGAGCTATAATGTATCTTAATTAAAACTATCTTTAGATAAGTTTTTTCCTCAAAAAAATTCGATTTAAATAAAAAAAAATCTGATTTTTTAAATTTAAAAAAAAAATCATTGATTTTTATCCACCCTGCTGATTAGCCATCAGATGTTAACATTTTCACTCGTTACTGACCTGAGTGGATTAGAGCTGGCAACCTTAGAGCTTAAGTTTCTATGAACCTTTTACCAATCTCCTGAGCCTTCCAGTTCTTCTAATGTTTGCATTTCTCTTTTCACATTTGTGTGAATTTGGAATTTATTAAACGAACTTCTTTAACCCTTTAGGGCTAGGTCAGTAATGACTAAAAGTCATTACTATCTGTCAGCTCTTTAATGGGGTATCTGAAGTTAACTGCATCCAGTTCTTTGTAGACTGGGATTTATATAACAAAACACATCACCACAACTAGCTTCTTCACTGGTAGTTGGAGAGACCAAGGGCTGAATGTGCGAAGAGAGTTTTCCTTTCACCTCCAAGTCTGTGTGAAGGCTGTTGAAATCTCCGACATAGACAGCTGGGTGTGGCAAGCTCGGTAGAAAATTTTGCTTCCAGCTGACGCTTGGAGGCTTGTAAACATTCGCCAGCCAGCAACCGCCAACCTGGATGGTGTCACAGAATTCAGTAGACATCAGCTGAATGGCATCTGCAATATCAGACTGAACGTATGTGGCTTGGCCGTGCTTCGGGTGTGCCACACGACACAACAGGTCGAAGCTGTCAATACTGTAATGCCCAGCTTCAGCAGTTGCCATGTGTGTCTCTTGCAAGCAAATGATGTCGATAGTATGTCGATGAGCAAGAATTCCAAGTAAATCATGCTTGGCAGCCGACAAACCCTCCACATTAAGTTGTAACACGCATAGAGCTAGACCAATGACCCAGAAGTCACCAGGCTGCACATTGGGGTTGTCGGTGACGATAGTGCCTGGATTTGTTGAGCTAGTGCTTGCAGAATTCGACTCGCTGGTTGGATCATTAGCTTCCCTGACTGCTGTCAGGTACTGGTGGGTGGCGTGACGAGGACACTGATCCATTGCCTGCTCATCACGGGTCCTGCTACCTTGAGTCACAGGCGTCGCTGAACTGTTCCTCCGTGATAGGCAGTTCAGAGTCCATATGGGGGAGAAGACGAGTGCTTGGAGACAACAGAGCAATGGATTACCCCAAGGCTCTGTGCTTTCTCCAGTCCTGTTCAACTTTTACATCAATGGCCTACCAACAGGGCCAGCTCTAGGCACCAGCAAAACAAGCTGGTGCTTGGGGCGGCACATGGCCGGCGCCAGAATGCCGCCCCTAAAAATGTGCCCCGGCCACCCTAGCTCACCTCCGCTGCCGCTCGCGTGCCGCTACTCCCCCTCCCTCCCAGACTTGAGAGCCTGGGAGGGAGGGGGAGAAGCGGCGCCCGCGCCGTGGCCACTCGGAGTCTCCCCCTCCCTCCCAGGCTCTGAAACCTGGGAGGGAGGGGGAGATCCTGAGCGGCCGCGGCGCGCGAAACAGTTGTTTCGCGCGCCACTGCTCTCCCTCCTAGGCTTGAGAGCCTGGGGGGGAGGAGGCAGGGCTGGGGATTTGGGGAAGGGGCGGAGTTGAGGCGGGGCCGGGGGTGGGGGTAATTAAAAAACGTGGGGGGGTGGGGCGGCCAAAATTATTTTTGCTTTGGGCGGCAAAAATCCTAGAGCCGGCCCTGCCTACCAACAATGGAGTCATGAAAGTTCATTTACGCAGATGGCATCTGTTGCAGTACCCAGGCCTGGACATTTCACGAGCTTGATGTCACCTTAAACCGAGACATGACAAAGTTAGCTGACTACTGTAAGACTTGGCACCTCCAGCCAAGCATCATAAAAACAGTCTCCAGTTTGTTCCCTCTTCATCGTGCCAGCACAACCCGAGAACTGAATGTTTATCTGAATGGTCAGAAGATGAAGCATGAAGTAGAACCGGCCTATCAAGGTGTGACCTTAGCATGCACACTGAGTTACCATGCCCACCTGAAGAAGACAGCAGCTAAACTTAAGATGCGCAATAATCTTCTTAGCAAACTGGCAGGTTCGTCATGGGATGTTCGTGCTCCAACTTTGCGGATGTCAGCTCTTGCCACCTCGTATTCGGTGGCGGAGTATTGTGCACCAGTTTGGAGTCGATTGTCACACACCAAACTGGTGGATACACAGTTACATGCCGCCATGCATATCATCTCTGGCACCCTGTGTCCGACTGCACTCCCATGGCTTCCAGTTCTGAGCAATATTACTCCTCCTCATATCAGACGAGAGGTTGCCACTGGCAAGTTACTGGAGAAAGTATGCGCCAACTCAAGCCTGCCGCTGCACTATGACCTGTTTAAACCACTAGCTGCACGTTTGCCATCATGTTGCCCATTATGTTCTCATCCGCCACACCAGGATGTTAGGGCGGAAACACTCTGGCGAGAGGAATGGATATCTGCTATAATCCCCAACCAGTCCCTCATCGCCGACCCTACAATTTGCCCGCCTGGTTTTGACCTGCCCCGTCGTCAATGGTCCCCATTGAACAGATTCTGGAGCGGGCAAGGTCTCTGTGCAGCCAGCCAGTACCGCTCGGGCCTTCTTGACAGCCCTTTGTGCATCTGTGGCGCAACACAGACAATGACGCACATTGTCGATGAAAGCCTGCTGACTAGGTTCAGCGGTGGCCTAGAAGAACTGCATCATACCACTGAAGATGCCATCGCTTGGCTAGACAACTATGCACACACTAAATAACCAACCTCGGAGTCAGGCACATTGCTGGGCTCGCACTGCCATTACCCTGGATGGGCCTGCCCTGTGAATAAACAAAGGACTCCAATCACTACTTCTGTTAAGCCAGCATCTCTTCTGAGCGCTATCTTCATTTCAAAAGAAGAAAGAAAAGAAAACAAAAGCTATTCTGGTCTCTCCAGAAAATACTTCATCAGGCAATTTCACACAACTGAAATTAAGGTAATTACTGACTAATGGCCTGATTTTACAGCCACTCCATGTTGGAGCTGCCATTGTCTTGACTTCAGTGGGAGTTGTGCATGTGGAACAGCCATGGAATTGACCCCCAAAGAGGTATACTTGCCACTCAGTGCACATATATAGCTCTCATTAATACTAATGGGATTCAGGGATACATTCAAGGAAGAATTTACCTTGATTTAGAATTTAAAATAAAGTTAATGGAAATGTGTGAGGAAATTCTGCTATGTAGCTATCTCATTT